TGGAAAAAAATTCTAGCAATCTTCTTTACCTGCAAATTTAAGAAAAAGTCAATTTTCGTCAATAAAAAAACAGTGCTTGTACTCTCTCGACATGGACTAATTTCAAAAATACTAAATAGATGATGAATTATAGCATCATTTGGACGAAATATCTATTCATTTGGTCGATTCTTTGTAGCTCTTCATTTTTTTTGACTAAATGCTTCCGAAGAAGCACGTAAAAATTACATTGACACTGGGTCAATGTGAAGCATTGGTAGTAGTTTGCAATTAGCAATAACCTTTCCTCGCCAAACGCTCATAGGATAAGGTACTACCTCTGCGCAAGAATATACATCATCATCGTTATGCATGTTCTTTTAAATAAGAGTAAATGCAAAATAATGTCAGTGAATAAAGAACAAGCATCTCATGAGTCATTCTTTGCGAAATTATAAAATGACGAATGTTATTTCATAATACTGTAATTTATACTATCACGAAGGCAGTTTGGACATTCTAATATTCTGAGAAAAGGACGTGTACAACCAAATTGTCAAAGTTTTATTAGTAATTCATTTATTCTAATGTCAATCATGCTGTTGAACAGAATCAAGAATGGTTTCCATTTCTACGCATATGTGAATGAATTCGTCCCAAGTCAATGTAGTGCCCTTAGTTTGATCAACTTTTGTATCTAGATGATGCTCAACATTATCTGGTACCCGATGACCTGTAATTAGAAGTAAATAAGAAAATAATCATAGATAATGTAAAAATGCTTAGATGTGTGTACTAGATCTGCTGATAATCCCAGAAACTAAAATAAAAAAGTAAATGTTTTCGAGAGAAATGAAACATGCTGCGGTTTAAAGAGGAGACTCGAGATGAATTGCTTTATTTGTTAAATAGCGCCGATAGTAATCCTACAGATTTTTACAAATGAAAATGAACCAAAAATATCACTTATGTTGAAACCATAGAGAAAAGTTGATCTCTGCAACTATTCTATTTCTTGATGATTTCACAGCTATATCTTGTATTTCAGAATTCCTGTAACAAACTTACCAATCGAGTTCATCATAGCCTTGACATGATGCTTATCGAGAGTGCCAATGCTATTCGAATGTGATCTATGATAACAAACAGTAAGATAATGAACTGATAGTATACAACAATTCGTACTCATTACCTGAAGTACTTTTCTTTATCCCAGATGAATCGAAAAGCGACACAAAATTCTTCGAAGTCGATTGTTTCGGATCTAACATGACTGAAAAATTCTATTGAGACAAACACGACGAAAGAATATTGATAGTTTGATCGTTAGAAGAAAAAGAAACAATTTGCTGAGAATCATAGCCTGTAGTACAGGCAAGATGAGACTCTTTTCTTTCTGTATTCTTAACCGAATTTTCATGCCATTTAGTAAATTTCAGAAAGGAAAACATCAAGTTTTAGGTAGAATTCACCCTAAAGTTTTCCGTCTAACATTAGTAAACGTCACAAGTTGAAGGTATTTAACTCTTAAGGAGACCTTCCTTCCTCTCGTTCTGAAGTCGCTCGACAATGGTTCGACGGCAAATTATGAAACTTTCAGGTCATTGCAAAAATTGTTTTAGACTCAAAAGTTTCAGCTCTCTCTTTCAGGAAGATATAAAACTACCAACGATCATAAATGAGTTGAAAACCCTCGCCCCTAAAAACTTCATACCGCGTTTTCTTGAGCTGAAATTGTTGCTGTGATGATTAGGATGAGATCGAATTGTGTTACAAGTTCTTATATATAAACAGATGCTTTGGCTTTCTAAAAATATGTCTATCAAATAGTGGGCATGTAAATCGACATATCTAGCACGAAAAATGAAAAAATTGAAAGCTTTAAATTGAAAAAGAATGAAGAGTTCTTTTAAGAAAGGTATACAAATATGTGCAAGATTTCTTTTTGCAGCAATAAAGAGGTATCCTTCTTTAGTTTCTACGAAGTCTTTCAAAGTTTCTTATAGAATCGTATAAAAGTCACAATTTTTACATGGAGCATGAGTCGTATTGGATTAAGTACGCGGCATTTTCTTTCGGATGCAGAAAAAAAAATATTCATTTAGCTGACTCACTGAATAACATTCGGACGGTCTCCTAAAACAATATCACATAATCATAGAGCTGTCACACGAACAAAACTCTCTTACAGGATTGATCGGACTCCATATGCCACCAGAAAGAGCTGCCGTAAATTGGCCCGAAGAAACCATTCCCGAATCGTCGATATCAATCCTGGAAAAAATTAAAAGAATTTGAATCAATTTCAGATTTTCGGTATGATTCATGCAAAAAACTGGAAGTCAACCAAAGCAATGTTTCAGCAATCCATATTAGTATACTGTATACCTATGTTACATAGTAAAATTTTCCCAACATTTTACTTAATATTAACTGAGATATGGCATACTTCAATGTAAATATACCGTAGCAATCGTTGATTTAATGAATAATATTCTTTTATATTGCATTATATTTTGTAAAATTTCTCGTACACAAAGCAGACACAAAGTCGAATTTTTACTTAATCATAGAACTCTAAGAAGTGCATTTTCAATAAAACTTTGGGCGAAAGCGAACAAGCAGTTCAGAAGTTATTTGGAATAAAATTTTCAAAAAATTCTGGTACAAAGTGAGTGTGACTATGGGTATAGTTATGAATATCAATATCAAATGAATAGCACACCTATACTCACACCCTCAAGATGAATGAGCATCAAAAGAAAAAAAATTCTATTAAATATGTCACGTGATAGAGTATTTCAAGTTGTACAAAATAACGTATTCATTATACTTTTTGTCTTTTCTTTTACACCTAGAACATTTCATTTCTTAAGTATATCTTCATGTAAAATATGATTTATTTTAACAGTGTACATGTCATAACTCAATGATTGTAGGACCCAGAGAACTAAAACTTTGTGTAGTTATGGAATATCCAAACATTAGCAAAATATAAAAATCTGATTTCAATCGGTTCAATGAAACAAGAATTATTGACGAAATATTGCTAAAGCCTAATTTGTACCAGAAAGTTACAATTCATCCTCTTACAGGAATACAACCTCTTCGCTCTTCTTCTAACTTTTTCTACCATTGATAATACTTACTTGTGAAACATTTGATATAGAAATTCTGGAGTCAATTCACGTTCTGCCATTTAACCTTATTTTAGTCTGATCAACAACTCTAGCTCACTTTTCTCACCAGCGTACGCACGTCAATGTTTAAGAAATTAACTGGATGTCAACGTCAGGTAGGCAAAGAAAAATATGCAGAACGTAAATACATACAGAATTTTTTTCATCACTCATTTATCAACACTATAATCAGCAAAAAGTAAAAGCAAGTTGTGTCATGTTCGACAAATAACAGAACCGCAACAGAAACTATGATACCTGTTTTCATTATGTGTGCTTTGCATGCTCTACCTGTCTATGATTTTCAAGAAAGAATCGACGTCTCGCGTTGTTTTAATATTCGTTTTGTCGTCAGCCGATTTTGGCTGTGATTTAGTCTATTTGAATTCGCAATTCAACGAGAGTCTCCAAAAAAATGAGAATTTTGTCCTCTTTCTATGGTTCTACAGCCACATGAAGTAGCTGAATCGCTGCTTGATGTTAATGCAAACGTGTTAGGTGTGGGTGGATGTGAGATGTAGGTGATGAGTGTGTATTTGAGATATAAGAGTAAACTTTCATACCCACACTCACACCCACACAGTATGAAGGACTGCAAAATATTTAGCGTGAATTCATATAATTGAAATTAATATTTTATTAGGAAAAAATTGTTATAAAGCAATCAAATCCTATTTTGTCTAAAGTCTACAGTACTTTTATATTACAGGATGATGATGATGACATACATGCGACTAGTGATCAAAGAATGCTAGATAATAGAACAGTTGGTACATTTCAAACTGCTTATTTACTTAATAAACCACCTAACACAAATGTTACAACAGCTGATCTATTTAAACATCATCATTCGGTTCATTCATCAGTTCAACAAAATTTTGCAACACCGGAACCACTTCAACTTTCTTCTGTAATTCTTCACTCGCTTCAACTTGAAAATGTAATTATCGATGAATTCGCATTAGTTATATCAAAGCAGTAGATTTTACTTGAAATATTAGGATAAAAACTAGAATATCTTGCTTGAGTTCTAAAGAGAAAAAAAAACAAAAGATTTTAATTAGAATAAAAAAAAGGAGAAAATTCTGGATTGTCGTATAAAAATCAGCAGACTTTTCTCTTGGTTTTTACCTTGATATTTCATGAAGAACCGTCTGCTCAAGTTCCGTTTTTGATGAGAGAATTTCTATCTTAAACCAAATAGATTTGACAACTTTCACTTACATTAATCTTTTTCTTCTGACTGTAAAATAGAGATGTGGGTGGGGTGTGGGTGTGGGTGTGGATGTGGGTGTGGGTGTGGGTGTGGGTGTGGGTGTGAGTGTGGGTGTGAGTGTGGGTGTGGATGTGGGTGTGGATGGATGTGGGGTGTGGGTGTGGGTGTGGGTGTAGGTGTAGGTGTGTGTGGGTGATGGAGTAATTGTCTATATATACGCCCACCCCACACTCACACTCAAACCCACACCCACACCCACACCCACACCCACACCCACACCCACAC